GCAAATGGATGAAACAACTGGCAGTGGAATGGCAAAGTTAAATGGAATATTTAAGGCAACTGTTTCTTATTTTTATTTTTCTAATTAAAAATGTGCTTGTCCCACGGACAAGTCATATCAAAGGTTTACATGTTCGAACTAAATTTCTACCTGTCCCGGACTAAAGTTCCAAATCAATAAACTTTCCTAGCCTTCTCATGAGCTCCACCAAAGACTTTCAGGGAAAATATAGAAACATATAAGCACCTTATTCCCAAAAGTTTTAAATTTTCCTGAAACTTTACCTAATATATTTTTTTTCCTTTTTAATACGAAACGTTCAAGGTTCCTAGTTAATGTAACAGGAGTGAAGCCACTTTGCTATTTAAAGCCCTTATCCTCAATCTTGAAAACAATGCCTCCTAATAATAATGTACAGTGTACCCTGTAAATAAAGCAGCCTATTTTCTTTCCTTTCCACCAGGGACATTTCACAAGAGAGACAGTTGTATTTGCAGATTAATAATGGTGTATGTAGACAAGAGAATCCAAAACAGCTATGACTGCTATAACTCTCTTAAGAGTCTTATCTTTCACAACTTGTTCCTTTAAATTTTATTTTCCTTTAAACCTAGATTTACTGACGATACAACTATGTTGCAAATAGAACAATTTCTGGTTTCTAACATGACTGTGTGCTTTGCTTCCCAAAAAGTAAGGCATTCAATTTCCTGACAGTATGTGCTGCACTGTATCCTCTCAAGAACCACAATATAATTGCATAGGAGCAGTGCACAATGAAGATTAAAATTAATGGTAATATATGAAATGAATCATACTTTGAACTGCAGATGAAGGTATGAAACTGTGAAGATGTTAACAACTATGTTGGCACTTACATGAAAATACATTCTAATTCAATCATGGTCTGCATTAGCTATGCATTGAAAGACTCATGAAAATGTCTATTCATTCTCTGTTCATTTAAGTTAAAACCCACGTAATTTAAAATCAAAAATAAACTTTTGTACCTGCTTCAAAAAATACATGCATGCTGTTAAATTATTCACCACTTATGACGCTATGACTGCCCCGGGAATTGGGAAGCTTGGGTTTGTTATTGACTGACGCATGAAAATATAGAACCAGACTACGTAGATTATCTTTGCCTACTTGCAAATTCAACACTTGTTAACACTTTTCTATTCTGTCTATTAGTTCTTCTATAGTCTGTGAAAATTTTCATAAGAATGTTTGTATCACATTACATGTAAGCTTACTTTATACAGATGTCCTTTCTTAATTCCATTATTTTCTTTTAGTAATTCCCAGTACCAGAGACCAAACTCCTATTTTCCAGTACAAAACAAGGAAATTCTACTCCTTCAGACCCCCAAAGTCCTTACATGATTTTACATTATCATCTTCAACGTCATGGTCTCGTTGCTTGCTTAGTATTGAAAGGTTATGCCAAATAAATACACATGTTTAGTTATAATTTACTTTAAACGGTTAATGCTGGTTTCATTGCTCACTGAAATGTTAGTTACTGAGTACTTGAGACAGTCACTCGAACTCGTCATAAACAAGTTGGAATTAAGCTTAAAAAGTTAGAGAAAAGGCGAGCCAGGACAACTTACCTTGCCTTAATATCTGCTCTTTTCAGCGAGATCTTGAGTATCGAAGAGCCTTAGTAATACGTGTAATACAGTCTTGGTCTGTGTTGTGAACATTCCAGTGTTAATGCTTGCGCTTCACACGATGTTTCTGTCTCCATTTCTGACCGAGTATCTCGTCCCGAAAGGGTTGCTGCACACTTGAGAAGTGATCGATTACTAAAGGCTGATAGTGCCATTATAAATTGTAACAACCTTAAGATGTCCTGTGATGTTATCAAGAAGCATAATATATGAACGATCTCCAACCTTTCAAAGAAGCAAGTTTGAAACCGTTGGACACTTTCAAAATGGACGCCAAATCAACGAACCTGATTGAGCATGTGCAAAGGAACAAGCCCGCTGACCAGGGGCGCTTTCCATTTACGAAAAAACCCCGGAAATTTCGGTGGTAGCAAAAGTGGGATTTCCGATTGGTAAAAAGTTGTTCCATTTGGTCGTAAATGGCCGGTGCGTGGTACGTGGCCGTGTGCCCGACCGTGGACCTGGAATGGGTACAAACTACAAGAAACGTCAATGGAACACGACATTCCGTTCGGAAATTCCAACCGAGAAAACGGGACCACCTTTTTAGATTTTCCACTTTTTCTGGGAATTTTCCAGTGGGACGAACCGACGAAACGTGTTCCATTTACCGCCGAACCGGAAATTCCGGAAATTTTGACTAAATGGAAAGCGCCCCAGGTGTCCCTTCACTCTATTGTTTCCAGGCCCCTTTCTTTTAACAAATTGTCCGTTCCCAAACCTGAAGTCCGCGGACTTAAAATAAGGAAGCGATAAAGGAGGCTCAACAATGAAGCCAGTACTCCGTTGAATGTAAAATGGTCACAGTAATTTGTGAATGCGTTCTTTCTCTTTAAGTAATGCGTTCTTTCTTTAACTAAAACTCGCCGTTTTTGCGAGGCGATATTTTTTCTTTATTTTCCAATTATTTCAACGTGATCAAATTACAGTTGAAACTCTCTACAACGGCCACCTTAGGGACATCGAAGAAAGTGACCATAGTAGAGAGGTTGAAAGGAGAGTAAATGTATGTCATATATGGACCGTCCGCCGAAAAAAAAAAACAAAACAAAAATGGCCCGTGTAGAGAGGTGACCGTTAAGGAAGAAACACCTTATACTGACTGAAATCAATGAGAGAATACTACTGAGTATTGAAGGCTATTGTGTTTGCCGCGACAGATATGCCGTTTTTCGAAAATTGCCGCACAGTCGCAAGCTACATCTTTGCATGAACTCTGCCAGCAGAATTTTCTTTTCAGCGTCATTTTTAAGCGTGTACGAAGTCGTTCGCACCACCAAAAAAAATTTGCGTGGTTGGCTTGTTTACATCGCACACCAACATCGAACACCAATTGCAAATGAGTGATCAAAAAAACTATGCGAACTAGTATCAGGTCACAAACGACTTACTAAAAACAGTGTCGGGAATAAATTGCTGTTAGGAAGCTAGCATTATATGACAACCTTACTAAACCTTTACTTGTAGCGTAAATGAGCGTAAAGCTGTTACAACAACTTTATGCTAGCTTTACGAAACCTTTAAGAGCCGAGCGCGTAAATTTACCTTTACAAACTTTACGCGCCGTGGAAAGTTTGCGTAAAGTTGGATGACCAACTTTACGCAGGTTTACGCAAACTTTAATTTTGCGTAAATCTCCATTTTCATGCTGTGTGAACATGGGGCACATCTAAGTTAGTCTCCATGCTTTGTTCTTTGTGGCGACACAAAAAAACGGCTGCGTAAAAGACTACGCTCGAGACGCTTTGCCCAAAACGGGGCAAAAACCCCGCCACCGAAGAATGCAAAAATTCACCTTCCGGTTATATGTCTTCTGTCATTTCTTTATGCTTAAGATCACGTGACCGTTCTTTTTAAGACCGATCATGCTGTGAATTTAATTAGCTTTAGTTATGGTCACCTCTTCTGTGCCCTGTGTATAATATAGAACGAATTTTCTACCGAAACGCTTCACTGGATTGTTCTTTGTCTTTAGTTCGACCTGCTCGTGTTTACTGCCAAATTCCATTGCGGGGACTACTATCAAAGAAATAAAAATAAGACAGAGAAACATGTCTTCAAGGAGTGACGAAATTGTAAGTACAACGTCTCTTTTTTGTTGTTCTCTCGGTCCATAAAAACGCTGGGAACTTTGGCAATTATTCAGCCATTTTTTACTTCACACTTGGTCAACGCGAAACAAGAACTTCTCGTAGATGTCACGCAGCTAAAACATTTTTTGCGAGACACTGCAACTGTCGAGTATCGTACATGTACGGTGGCCCAAAAGTTTCACGGCAATTTCAATTAGTTCACTACAGGGGACTGACGATTCCCAACGACGATTTTTAGCGCAACACAGGAGGGCAACACAGCGGTGTAATGTTGGAACAATGTTGCAACCATTCGAAACAATTTTGCAACACTATGTTGCGCTAAAAATCGTCGTTGCGAATCGTCTCGTGTAACATCACCTTAACTTTTTCTAAAAGCTCAAGTTCCTCGATGTTAATAACCTTGCCTTCTCTATTACATACGAAAATAACAGGTTTTTTCAGTAAAATATTTCATTAGATGGCGTCTATACGGATGCTACATTTAACACCTGATTTAAGCTGAGCCACAGCCTCTCAATACCTGCTTCTTCGATAGGAAGCTACGTTGTGCAGTATCAGCAAAATATTTCACTGGATACGGAAAAAAGCAAAATTTATCAAAATTCAAACCGTGAGAGCTGCCACCAAATTGAGTAAAACATAAAAAAACGGTTAAAACATTAGAAAAAGGTCTAAATAACACAGCGAAAACATAAGAAGGCACGAATGGGCAATTTGAAGAAGATTTACACGGATTACAATTGCGGTTTTTGAAAACTTGTTAGCCTTACTAGCAGTTTTTCAAGGATGTTGTATGTAATAAACGATTAATATCATGCTTTTAAAGAGATGCTTGTTTGATACAAAGCCAAGATTTCGTCAATTTCAAGTAAATTCCTCGCTAACAATTACATCAAGTTCCGTAGCGAAAAAAAGACGCGTTAGAGGCAATTTCAACCCGATGTATAGGACAGCCGTGACACAGCCCCTTCAAGCTCTATTTTTTCAAACGGTTTTTAGCACTAGTCCAATAAAATTTTATCGTGTTATTGCTGTATGATAGGAGCACGTTTTTCCAAAGTTTCGTTCATACAGTGCAGATGGGTCGGGATACAACCCAGCCGGATGCTACAACGTGATCTCAGAGTCCGCACCTCTAGTATTGCAGAGCATTAGGTCAGCTTCGGTGAAGCCTGAGTCTGTATTTACCATCGCTGACTTTGGCTGTGCGGATGGCGCTACCTCCATGCCACTACTTTACGCATGCGTACAAGAGTTGAGAAAGATTCATGGTGATGGTCTGCCAATTCATGTTATTTATGATGATCAACCTGTCAATGATTTCAAGACTCTGTTTCTTCGATTGCAAGGTATTCTTTGTGAGAGTTAGCAACTAGCAACGGCGATATTCACATTCTACTTTGAGCAGCTAAGTGAGACACCGAGCATTGATACGCAAAGGCCCGTGCTAAAGACCCAATAACAGGGTAACTGGCTTTACACGTCACTAGCGTCTGACTTCGTCGACTTCCCAAAGCGTATAACATGTATTAGATAAGTTGCACTGAGTCATCTAAATTGAGCAGTCATTACTAACGGAGGACCAGGAAGTGGAAGTGGGGGCACTGAGTGGAAAAAGAGTGGCCCTTTGTTCTTCAATACTTGAACACCCTAAATGTATGTTTGTAAAGTTACTTGTGAGTGTGGTTTTGGTCGCTATTCATTACGCAGTGAATGAAAACTTCACTGACGTCTATTCTATATCAAAGGCATCTCGTACCCAGATCTCCCACGGTTTACTTTTTCAGCGTAAGACAGAGTGAAGCGTTAAGCCCGGCGTAAACGGACGCAACATTGTTGGATGTTACATGTTGCGTCCGTTTGCATACCTTGTTGCGTGTTGTTGGGAGTTGTTGCGCAAAGTTTGATAAACCGATCAAACTTTTGAACCAACAACTCCCAACATTTCGTTTGTTCCATGATCGGCGAAGCGTAGCGCAACAATGTTGGATCCGTTTGCACGGCTCTTCCACCATTGTTGGGGCCACGTACGCTCATTACTCATGGTTTACAAAGTCTTATGGATTGTATCTTTCCCACGATGCACTGCAGGTCCCAACCTTCTATGGCCAACAATGTTGGGAGTTGTTGCGTCCGTTTGCACGTAGCTTAAGACAGAGTGTCATGTGGGTACGAGGTTAATATCTAAGTGGAGCGTGCGATCATTCACTTTAAGCCCCGTGCAAACGGACGCAACATTGTTGGCCAACAACTCCCAACATTGTTGGATGTTACATGTTGCGTCCGTTTGCACACCCTGTTGCATGTTGTTACGCAAAAAGTTTGAAACCGGTCATACTTTTCAGCCAACAACTCCCTACATTTCTTTTGTTCCGTGATCGCCGAAGCGTAGCGCAACAATGTTGGATCCGTTTGGACAGCTCTTCCAACATTGTTAGGGCCACGCACGCTCATTACGCATGGTTTACAAAGACTTATGGGTTGTATCCTTCCCACGATGCACTGCAGGTCCCAACATTGTTGGGAGTTGTTGCATCCGTTTGCACACCACTGCCAACACGCACGCAACAACTCACAATGTTGGGAGTTGTTGCGTCCGTTTGCACGCAGCCTTAAACGAAAAGGTAAAGTCAGTTAAGTTAACTTTAACTAGAAAAGTTTCTAATTATTTCACAGGTCTAATACCCGGTCCAAAAAGCTATTTTCTAGACTTCACTAACGTGTTCGTCACGACGTGCGGCACCAGCTTCTACAAGCAATGTTTGCCTCCTCATTCTGTAAATTTAGTATTTTCCTCCACTGCCATGCACTGGTTGAGTGAGAAGCCATGTGATATCACAGGAGCATTGAGTCACACCATGATTACTGTTCCAGAAGAGGCGGTAAAATTCAGAAGCCAGGCCGCAAAGGATTGGGAGACAATCGTACTGGCGAGGGCAAAGGAGATGGCTTCTGGTAAGACGAAAAAATACAGTCAACTCACTTTTGTTTGTTGATGCCCTTTCCTGAGTCCCCTTGCCCTTTCAAATACCACTTTTGACCAAACGACACCCTGTCACATTCCTACCCACGAAAATGGTACACCTTTCAGGTTACAGAGGCGTTCTGGTTTACAACGAGCGACTAACTATTCTCGGAAAAGTATGTGTATAAGTCGTTGGGTGCGTCTCTTTCGGACGCTTTAAAGGACGTTAAATGACTTAAATGGCGACGGACGTTATGGAAGTTTTCCCGACTCTTTCCTTAACAGTTTTACGTCTTTAAAGACGTAAAATCCGCACCAAGTACTGTCCTGGGCGTTCATGATTAGCGTTTCCATATATTCCGGCCTTAACCGACTTGAGTCAAAATTGAGAGTAGTTCCTTTTTTATCTTGTAATTTAGGTGGCAGGATGGTTCTTGTTCAGTTCGCTGTAGACGACGAGGGGCAGTTTATTGGACAAACACGAAAAGCTGCTGCTTCCATTCATGGCACCTTGAGAGACTTGTGGAGGGAACTCCGCGACGAAGGTCTCATCACAAAGGTTACACATTTTCTGCTTTTAGTTGTTGTTACCGCCCTAGATCGATTGGACATGCAAATAGTTTATGAAGGTGTGAAAGACATCTTGCAAGCATGACGATCGAAATGACCACAGGTAACCCCAACTTGCAATTTGAACGCTCAGTAAGACAATAATCTGTGCCTTTCCAACATTACCGGGTTTATTTGCTCACTAACTTAATTCTCTATCGTGCCATCTGGCGCTTGACACGACAGGAGGGAATTCCGCCCGACTTTGTCTACGGCTGCTCTGGGGGATGTCTTCAAAGTCAGTCCTTAGTTTGCTCCTTGGCTGTTTTTATTTATTTATTTTTACTTAATGTAAAGCTCTCTGCAAACGGACGTAACTTTATTGGCCAACAACTTCCAACATTGTTGGTGTTACATGTTGCGTCCGTTCTCACACCCTGTTGCATGTTGTTGCGTGTTGCTGGGAGTTGTTGCGCAAAGTTGAAACCAATCAAACTTTTAGCCCCGTAAAACGGACGCAACATTGTTGGGAATTGTTGCGTCCGTTTGTACGTAGCTTAACATAAACCACCCACGACCTATACAATCCTTTTTTTATTTCCTTCTCCCCGCTCACTACAGCTTTTTTAAAATTAGAAGCCTTTATTAATCCTTGCATGACATATTACCATGCTAGAAGTGATCTATGCAGTTGACAGACTTCTACAGACCTAAAAAACTTATTTTTTTGCAGGATGAATTTTATCGGACTACATTTATCGGTTACTTCCGGACTGTTAACGAATTCAAGGCCCCTTTTGAATCACCGGACTCTCCTGTGCGTAAGGCTGGCCTGTCACTGATCTCCATAGAAACCAAAGTAGTGCCATGCCCTTATAGGGAAAAGTGGTTGCAAAATCGAGGCGATCCTGTAGAGCATGCGCGGTGGTTCATACCGTCGTTAAGGAAGTGGAGTAATTCTACGTTTATTTCCGGTAAGAGACTAGTTGTACTATCACTGTGGCATAGAAATTGACGGTGTTCGGTTTGGTCGTACTGGAGATATCGGGCATTTTGATTGGGGCTTAAATGCTACGTTCACAAAAGTCCCCGCCCTCTCGGGCCCGAAATCAAAAATTCGCCGTGAAAAGGCGGAAAAGCTAAATTTCAAATGCGAGTGCATAAGTCATGATAATAGGCTAGTTTCTCCAGAAACTGTTTATTGATCTTTCTTTCTTTCTAATCTTTTTTTTTGGGGGGGGGGGGGGGGAGGGATGTTTCCTTTGCTTAGTAATACGTTTTTTGTTGATAGACTCGGTGAATGGACTAGGGTTTTTTAGGTGAGTTAACGCCTCAGTCCATAACTTACCTTTGTGGTGTTACCTTTTGTTCTTAGCCCTGTCAGATTCTCGGTCACCCAAAGAAAAGGAAAGCATCGTAAATGAATTGTTCAAGCGATACGAAAGCGAGGTTGCCAAGCGTCCTGAAGATCACGGAGGTGATTATGTTCATGCCTACATGGTTATCGCGAAGAACGAAAAGATAGGAGCTTGACTTCACAAAACTGTGGCTAGGAGTTTGACCGCCTTAATCGCGCCTAACACGACCTGACAATCAAATGAACCAATTACGTCTAAAAGAAAATATAAATACATTAACTGGGCAACAGGCGCGGGAAACTGCCGCGGATAGACATCGCGCTTTCCCACCACAACCTTCCTTGCTCAAAACAAGATCGAGAGAGTTTCTTTTTAGCAAAGCGAGTCTCCCGATGAAAATATAATAGTACAAATTGCAAAACATTGGGATTCAAACTTTGGGATTTACAGATTTTTCTTGAATTCCATGGTGTAACCTGAATGTCTTAACAACTCCGCCCTCAATAAATGCACAATTATAGCTGCGTGTACACCCACAATTCACGACAAAGCGTTTTTACTTTGATCGCTGATTGTAAAAACAGACTGTTTCCACACAAACGAAGGATTAAACTTTTTATTTTTTCTGCCCTTGTTTTACTACTATTTGCAATAATTGGCAAAAATAAAAATGAAAAACAAGACGAGAATTTACCATTGGAAAACCCCTGTTATGATTGTTTTCAATGCAATTTGAAAAATATGTTCTGAGAGATGTCACTTAAATCGTGAAGTAAAATGAAATGGTGAGGATTAGCGACTGCCTCCTTTAATTTTATTTCACGAATTGCATGCTCCCTCTAAATATTACATAAAAAATTTTATTGCATATTTTTATTATGGCTTCTTTATATACCTGCAAAGGGAAAACCTACACTGACCCTACTGGATTTTCCGTCCACATTGAACTGATAAACATGTAATCTCATTGTATTTTATATGTGGTTACAAAATTGATAAATTTGTTACAAAAATATAAAAATAGATCTAACTTTGGTAATATCTCTATAAGCTCGTTATAATAATGATGATGATGATGAGGATCATAATAATAATAATAATAATAATAATAATAATAATAATCACTACAATAAACATAATCACACTAAGGATAATATCATCATCATCACTTGTAGCTACAGCAGTGATGTAGTTTTTATCATTTATCTTGCATATTATAAATACTTATACAGATATGTGGCTCACATTCAATCAATTACTACCGCAATTTGCTAGCTCAGTAAGAGCGACTGGAAAGAAAAAAAGGTTTTCACCGTTGTGCATGGCCACACAAATTTTAAAAGAAGTATAAAAGTATTATTGCCGCAAACATTTAGTGGACCATGACACAATTCTTCAGACTCCCTTACATGGGACGAAATCCACAACAGTCCTGGATTCTCGATTCTACTCTGTGAATTCCAGGCTCTGGATTCCTCGCCAGTGGAACTTGGATTCCGGATTTCGCAAGCAAAAATTTCCCGGATTCCGAAGTCCGCATGCCGAGATTTCTCAGAGTGTCGAAACGACTATAGTTTCGTTTTCAAACACCACTTATTGGGTCCATGTCAGAAATTCGAATGTTTGATTTGGTGGATGGTTCGATTCAATACAAAAGCTACTGATGTTCACGACTTGCTGTCGCCAATTACTTAAATAAATATAATAGTAATCTCACTGTCTTTTTGTTCAAAAGCTCGAGTGGATTAGCTTAGGACGTAATGACCCGTAAAATTAGTTAGCTTTTCTTTCTGATAAGAGTAACAGCAAAATTAGGTTATGTCTAGTCTAATTTTAAATTTCATTTTTCCTTTTAATCTCAAATGTAGAAATGCTAACAAAAATCAAGGCCAACAGACAAGGTTTACAGAGACTTTATGAATGAAAAGGGCGTTGTTTTTAAGTAATCAGAAGGTCGTTATTCACTAATACGTATACTAACATCACAAACAAAAGATGCAAATGTAGTGGAATGTAAAACAATTAAGTTCATTAACAGAGAATATAGTAATGGGGGTGAACGCGTGTGCTTCAATCGAATCAAAAGTCGCACAGCCACGAGTAGTTCTCTGATTCTGTTTAAATTGAGTTACTCGGAAGCTTTTTAAAAGCCTTTTCACTTTAGGGAATTTAAATGAACTGCATTAGAACACCAATCTAGAAACCCTGTAAAACGGATAACCCGGTGAAACGAAAAATTCTTCGCCCCCAGTTATAGAAAAATGTTCAGAACAGGACCTCGATTTATACAACATACCCCTGTTACAATGTGAACAGTTTTCCCGGGCCATAGCACTTTATAATAATCGGGGCTACAGTGTACTAGAAGTGCTGTAATCCTATTTTGGATCGACCATTAATTAAGAGATTTCAGACGCATTTAACTTAATTACAGTAACTTTGTTTGAGCTCAATCTTTTCCGAGTATATCTTTGAGTTTTGGTAGCTTTTCATTTTTCACGTTCCAGCTTGTTGCAACCCCTTTCCTTCGCTTTTGATGACTGACTTGCACTTGATCATGCCTCGCTGAAGCTTTTCCATTCGTTAATGTCACGGGGACATTGAAAACAATATTCTCAACCTTAGAATGTCTTTTCACCGCTCCTGCATCGCTGTTTTCATGTTTCGTTCCCTGCTTAGCTAGCTTTTTATTTCGCAACGTTCGCTTAGAGGACGAATCTTTAATCCTTGGAAAACCAATCACCCAGTTATGAAACTGCGATTCCCTCGAAATAGACCTTTTCATAATCTGTGGTACATTCGCGTCAGTGCAAGTTATCGAGGGAAATGTGTCCGCTGATCTCTCAGTACTAAAAGACCGAAGTAATTTCTGTTTATCTCTAACAGATAATCCTTGAAACGTTTTCTCCCTACTGACCAAACAAGGAAGTTGGTGTAACTGTAACTTATTTCTGGCTTCTCTGGCAAACCGTTTTCTGTCCCTGTTTAAGTTGAACAAATCTTCTTGCACCTTTCGCTTTTCAGTCTTGAGCTCGATGTTACTTTGTATTCGTTCCTTCTCAATTTCTCGTTCAGCGACAGCAAGAGACTTAATTCGTTCTTGAAAAATTGTGAGGGCTTTATCGTGAACAGATTGGTGGCCTCTCGATTTGGATACGTGCCATTCCATCTTCTTCCCTGACTAGCTTCAAAAGCAGGTGCAGTAACGAGCAGGGTAAACAAACTGCACACTACAAAAAATTCGCTGAGGAAAATTATAGAAAAAGCCTTTTCCATAAACAAGATAAGCACTGAGTTAATCCTTTAACTGTGACGCTACTACTGCCATACGGTAGCCAGTCATTAGCAGTCCCATTATAAACCAAATATTTCAATGACTTTGAATGGGCGATCGCGACAAATAAACCACTCAACCGTTTAATAAGAGCTCCCTCACAAAACAAAATTAGTCTAGCATAACGTTTGACTAAAACATAGTTAAGTCAACGTGTGAGGAAACTATTGCTCGAAAGTAACCTTTTTCAGCGCCAAAAAAAAAAAGTCCAAAATCAAATTAGTTTTAATTCGCTGCTAGTAACCATAGGAACAGACCATTGGAATATTGAAAGGGGGCTGGGAGGGTACCTGCTTAAAATTGCTTCTGCTCCCCATTAATTACTATTAATTGTGTTTTTTAATGTTTAAAATAAGTTCTGATCGTAAAAGGTCTAACTTACATCGTGAAGTAAAATGAAGTGGTCATCGTTAAGTAAATAAATATAAACAAAAAGCAAAAGACTGGCATCTTTAATTTCATTTTCAAAAAATTACGTCCTGACTCTAAATACTTTTGAGACTTTTGAGGGTATAACTTGTCAATTCAAAATGATGTATGACTTCTTTATATGGCTACAACCATCTAAACATCATCACCACTGTAAAATATAAACAACATAAAATATTTCTAATCTTATCGTATTTTATGTACTTACAATATTGATCAATTACAGTCAATTCATTACAAAGATATAAAAATAAATCTTACTTTGGTAATATCTCTGTAAGCTTTTTTTAATAATAATAATAATAATAATCGTGAAACAATAATGATGATGACGATAATAATAATAAATTACACTGACAGTAACCACAATATCATTATAAGTATTAGTACTACAAGCATCCTTTATCTTGCATATTATGAATAATTATACAGATTTCTCGCTTACATTCAATCAGTTACTACAGCAATTTGCTCTGTAGAGAGCGATTTAAAGAAAATAAAGCTTTCCTTATCGTGCATGGCCACACAAGCAAATTTCGAAAGAAATATAAAAATATTTTTACTGTAAACCTTTAGTGGACCATACAGCACAAGTCATAAGTTGAATACGTGAAGAACTGTGAAACTTTAAGCACAGCAGAACAGCTCAAACACTTGAGCTGAAATTATAAGGATTTCACTTTGATGAGTAGCCTCTTCGTAATGCTTAGCACATCGCGCAAAACACACGAGAGAGGAAAATGACCACGCACACAACTGAGGGTCCAAAAGCCTCGTACCACCCCACTTACAATGAAGAAATACGCTAAAATGCTCCCGTGCTTAAGATTCTGCCCGCGCTACTGTCAATGGGAAGTACCATGTTTGTAGCAAAGGGCCTTTCTTACTTATCTTCGTTGGAATACAGTGATAACAGGCGGCTTGGTGTAGATTTTGTCTCTTGTCTGCCAAACCACAAGTTTCCCGTTCGTGTTGACAGCAAAAAGGCGTTGGCTGTCGTCAGAGAATTTTAAGCTAAAAAAGAATTCAAAATGGCATATTTATGTATCACAGTTCGCGCCCGCTTGTCGTTTCGCAAAATTGCACAAGATCAAAGTTCGTGCGTGTATTGACGGCTAAAAAAGGTTGGTTGTCGTCGACAAATTTCAATAAATTTTTTAAAGCAAAGTTATTTTTTTGATAACCGGTATGATTTTCTTCATAATTAGATCCGTTAAAAAGAAGAACAAGAACTTTCCCCTTTAAAAAATAAAATGTATGTTACTTACCACAATACCGGCTCAAGAATTTCATACAGCAAAATAAAGGTATTTACATTTATGTAGCAATTCGCCAAGGTGTTTTTCGTCTCGGGAAGGGTAACACAGATAAAACTACATGTAATGTATATCGTATGCATGACGAAAACAAACAAACAAACACAAATTGAACGAAGCCAAATACAAAACCTCGCCGTCTTACCTGACTACTTGAAGTAGATTGAGGTCCGGTGCAATGTCCCGTATGTGACACAGATCCCACGTGCTCCAAAGTCTGTTGGCAGATTATAGGGAGCTTAAGCAAAGATGTTTTTGAGCGACGCTCGTCAACGCTTTTGTTGCAAAATAAACTGAAACAGAAACTGAATCCAAATCCCTGCATTTCACTCCCTCAACGTTTTCTTAAGGTACGGTAAAACGGACAGCAAAACCGTGGAACTTGTTTGCAACCAATGACATAACATTGCTGCAAAACGGGTTGAATAGCGATGTTGCGCGTTTTCGACCATCCACGAATCAAACCTGTCTCGTAACAAATCAAAAAGTAGGAGTAGTCTGTTCTACGTTTTGCAACACAATCTGTACATGTTGTGCGCTTTACCAGCCCAAGGCAAACTTGAAAAGTGACGTAACTCCTTGCGTATAGCGTGATTTCCGCGTAATTTTATCCTTGCAACAGCCCGATATTTTGCAAGACGCAGGTTTGAACTTGGGTGGTAAAACGAGCACTATTCCTTTTCAACTCAATTTACAGCAATGTTACAAAACAGGTTGTACGTTTTTGGTTCCCGCTTTACCGTAGCTTTGGAAACTAACGACCCCTTTCCCAGGTTAGTGAATTTACCTTATGGCTCCATTGCTTAGTCCGGTGGCGATAACATTAACAGACATGCCCTCCGGAGCTGACGAAAACTCCAAACAGTTGATCAGGTGTTCACAGGTCACAAGACCAATAAACCTGCCATTTACAGTCCACAGTTTCATGACACTTCCGTCGTCAATAGTGTCCTCCTCTGAGTCGCAGTTTACTAAAAGGAGGATATAAAATGAAAGCTATTTCTTCTCTTTATGTTAAGTTTCGTGAAAAGATCTCCGCACTTTTTGCACGACGGCTACAGTCAATAAAAGCAACCTCCTTCCTTCACCTTCCCCACTCGAAATTAAGGGTGAAGCCACTTTATTTCGGGAGGAGGGGTGGAGGAGGAAGTGCTGCATTTCTTACAACAACGGCAACGTCGTACTTTAGACAAGTCTGCTACCTAGTCTTTCCTCGTGTGGTAACCCAGCCCTCTTGGCTCAGGGAGGATTTGCCAGGAGGAGCGTTGCGCGACGACAGGAAGAACGGCTGTGCAGCAGACTAGCATTAGACCACGGAGGCAATAACTAGGATCGATATACGCCAATCACAACTTGAGAAGTGACTATTCAGAGACGCACGGTAAAACGATCCTATCAGAGAGAACAAATGTACTGCTAGTCATGTCATCACTTACAAGTATGCGACACAGTAGCTATGTCTCCAGTCGTTCGACTGACGCTAACAGCCGCAACAGTGTTGTTATGTTGGAGAAATCGTACGTAACTTAACCTGAAAAACAGAAAAAAAAGAATACTGAGAGTGAGGGAGGGGGAGTAACGGCTTTTATCCAGAGTTCTCGTTTGACGTCAAAATTGTACCTTCAAAATATAACCAAAGCAGGCAGAAATAACAGATTTTCCTGACCGAACTTAAGTTCTTTCTCATTAGTTAGTTCAATAAAGGACGTTTCATCGAATCACCGAAATGCAAAAACGTCTCCGTGACTATTTACTCAACTAAATGCAACACGCATCTCAACATTGATTTCCTATCGCGAAAACGATCTCACGCCAACTAAAAACTTTCGATACAGTCAAGAAAAAAGTGTCTAGTTATTGAGTGGCCAATAGTAAGAGAGTTGCTATCAATACCGGCGCGAGTAGAGTAATCAGCTTTAGCGGGTATCTCACAAGAAACATCTTAAATGTAGTACCTATTCAGGTCCCAAATAATGGCTGTTCTGTCGCGGCTACCGCTGACCACAATACTAAAGGCTTGGCACAGTTCAATGCAAGTAATGGAGTCCTTATGCCCATGAAGCCGAACTCTCGAACCCAGGACTTCGATGCCAGCTTCCTGGAAAACAAAAGACGGGACAGATTCGCACGCGTTTTTTAGCACCCGGCGTCCAAAAATAGCGAACGGAATATTTGTCCGGCGTTGTGCACGCACTAGCGCTTGTGATGTCGCGGCTCACTCCTGTGCATATCGCAAGCACAAGCGCTGACGTTGAGACTATACGCTGAAAAAATTTGTACGCCTGACGAGTGTTCTTTAGTGCTTGCGTTTTCGTCGCCCGTTTGAACCAGCCGTAAGGAGAGGTTCCGCTGTATTAGATGTTGACACAGTAGTTCTCAGCACTAAACCACAGACTTACCGCTACTCTCGGGTTGTACTTGACGGGAAGCACTGACAGGGTGCCGGTTGATGTACCAATGAAAAGAGAATTACAACCATCAGCTACAGCACAGCAGGTAATCTAAAGGAATTAAACAACGAGATTACTGTGACTTAAAAACAGAACAACAACAAAAACAATAGCCTGTCCACAGAACTCTTTTTCTTTCCTTAATTTTATCCCGGGAATTCGGCGACCGTTCGAAGTTTCTGTTGTTCAGGGCTTGCATAGAGTCTTGAATTATTGAAAAAGTCTTGAAACTTGCAAAGCAATATTCCAGACCTGGAAAAATTCTGGAAAATAGAGATGAAATGTTGAAAAATCGTAAAAAGTGTGAATTTTTTTCAAAGCTACAACAAGTGCTTAGTAAGTAAAATCTTATTGATATCTTATTGAAACTCGCCTGTAGGCAAGACCTTAAATCACGCAATGGGAAGTTTCAGAACTCTCTTATGTCCACATTAGAGCACCGTGATTACAGTGCATCATGAGAAGAGATTGGTTCCTACATTTTTTCGAGGTCACCGTTGGTCACGTATTTGATAATCCTGAGTCCGGAAAAATATATTATTGTTTTGGAAAGTCTTAAATTTTGGATCCGAGACTCTGTACAAACCCTGATTGTTACTACGCGGTCTGTGTCTTTATCTTGCCCCGGGACAATTGTGTTTTTACATAAATGACTAATCCGGCGTTTCGTCCAACCATCCGGTCCGCTTTTTAAGCAAAGACCAAGTCCCTCGCGAGCGTTTTTTACCTATCAGATTCTATCTGCTTATCTAGGTTTACTTATCATAGGAACTCATTCATCAACGGAAACAGTCAACTTTCTCTAATACGGACACATTTGGGACCAGTACTGTGTGTCCGTCCATCTTAGGGAGATGTCTGTCTTAAAAGGAGTCATCTGAAAGGAGTAATGAAAGGCAGGGACATACTCTAGGTGTCCGTTCTAGCAAGGTGTCCGTGAAAAGGAAGTTGACTGTAGACGTTTGACGTATCTCACCTTGTCTGGAGTGTGGTGCTCCATGAGGCAAACGGGGGCACTATCAGGAGAGGTGCTGACACGAATGCAACCGTCCATGTACCCCCAGCTTAGCGCCGCTGCCCACAATAATCTTTCTTCACTCTCCCCGGACCTCGCCTGGTGTACGGTCAGCAGTGTGGTGTTGTGTCCAAGCGCGAAAACATTGTCGTTGTTGAGGCAGACGAGAGACTGCACGGAAGAGTTGAGAGCTTGTGTGAACCCCACCGCTGGGGCACCTAAAGCTGGGGAGCCCAGATACTGCCCCCATTTAAGGCCCTCAACTGTGCTCACAGGCGACTGAATCTCTGTCAATAAGTACATTAAGGAAGAAGATTAATCGTAATATATAGGAAATCAAACGCTGAAGTAGTGATGCAGTGGCTGTATTTGCGAATTTTAATGCTGTATTTTCGTGATTTCCAAACAGAATGCTCCAAAACGCCAGCTATGGGGCTTAACTAAAGCACCGCTTTGTGTAACCAACCCCCGTGCCATCCTAGAGTGGCAAACAAACTAGTCTCAACTTACCAGTGAGTGTGTCAGCGGTACTGCCTATAATCGTCCCCGTGTCTGATGAAAATGAGGTAGTCAGCCGACCCATGCGGAGGCCGGCATAAGCCAGCTCAGCTCCGGTGTCCATGAACTTTAGGGTGTTTAAAGTGGATGTGGGGCCCACGTCACTAGTCTGGGTGGTCATTGGTTTATGCTGTGGTCTCGGGCTGTGAGGGAAGGTGAACAATTGCTGGGGGGTCTGACCATACGTCTCGATCATGGTTTTCAGCGCTTTTTGGCGGACTTGGTCTGTAATGGCGTTCACATCCACACCATAATACGTCTAAAACCACGGACAGACTTAAAGTTGTTAAGAAATTCTTACTTAGACTGTGTACTTGGGCAAAACTGAATCCAGATTTGAGGTGGGAGAGAATCTCGACAACCAAAGAAACTATGAACACGACGATCTAATTTCTAATTGCGGAATTTACTTTCTTCGAAACGGTCTTGGAGAACCGCTCAACACTCCAAGCTGTTTGAGGTATTAAACGATTCCATCCACTCAAGAGGATTCAGATGTTCTTGGCGTCTGGTATTCGGATTAGGTATCTCCCAGAGAAACGAAGGCTTATCTTGTACTTTGAGAGGATAATAGGATTAATCTCTTTTGGTTGTACGGATTATAGATAAAACCGTGTCTTCTACATCGGACTACGCTCTACTTCACGGTGGTAAAATCGTCAGGTAGAGGAGGCTTTAATTTATGTTAACCTTCCTACAAATTTAAAGACAACAGGTGCAGCGACTAACTATAACCTTTGAGCATGAAAAACAAATTTCAAGGGCAGGATTTAATTATAATGTGCCTAGATTAACTCAATGAATAGCGTGAGAAAATAACCCATATTTTGCGACGCAACCACTGGTCTCCCACTAAATGCCGTCTGAGAAATGACTGCAGAAATACCAAACAGAACTACTACCCAGGGCCCAGTTGTTCGAAGGCTGATTATCGCTTAACCCAGGGTTAAACTTAACCCGGGTTTCTTTTTCTTTTGTTCAAAAGCATTTTCTCGCACAATTTTCTCTAATATTCATAGAGCATCGAATCATCAACTTGTTGACAAAAAGAATTAAACTGTATGTATGTATGTATTTACTTTATAAGCTTTCATATTTGAATTCAAATTTTGCTCTAACACTCGGTTATCTTAACCCAGCTTTGAACAACCCGGCCCAGATCTCAGTAGTGACGCGTCATAAGTACGACGTCATTTCGCGGGGGAACCAGTGATGACGACGCAAAATGTCGGCCGTTTTCTCAGGCAACACAATGAATAAAATAAGATTAAGTGAACTTACCGCAGGGTGAAACACGTTAATCGCGTCTATAGCCTCTCGTCCCCTCTGTTTATAACCGAACACAAGATCAATCCACTGATTGAGGTGCTGTGACACATAATCTGATTCCAAGGCCTGCAAAGTAAAACAACGGGTAGAAAAGGGTACACAACAACAACAACAACAACAACAACAACATGTTTATGTGATAAAAACGACAATAGATATTTTTCACTCACGTGATCAGCGTGGAGAAAAAAAAAAATACATGAGAAAATAGTTCCATCTAAACAGGATTTTTGGATTATTATACGTATCTGAAAAAACTGCCCACCAGCCAACATTTTGCCGTAAGTGAGAAGTAAGTGTTAATATTGGCTTAGGGAGGGGTAGGTGGGCAAATACGGTCACCGTGACTTCATGTGAAAACAATCTCAATTATAGGGCAATAAGACTCACCTGCCTGTGAATTAACATGAACAACCTGGTACTGCCTTTAGCCCAATGAGGTACCTCCACATTCATCACTCGACTTCCATTCTGCCGCAAACCAAAGTCAAACCCTTTGGGAAGAAAAACAAACTTATTGCTAAGGTAATTATAAACCGCAGAAAAGTGAGGCCGTTGAGTATCATTTCTCTTCGGTAAACTTGGCTTGTCAAATATGTTTGAGTAAACAAAGAAATAAAAAAGAGTCAACACCAATAACAACAACCAAACAAACAACATTGACTGGTAATAAGACCAAGAGATGGTTATGATGCTGTTACTAACAAAAACCGGCGATCTACCCTCAATAACGAAATGTCGGATAAGGCGAACGAGTTTCACTTGACAAAAACAAAATATAATTCAACCAAAATACGAGAGTAGAAAGTCTCATCAAATCTACACACTAATGATAACAGTACCTTCGGTATTTTCCAGGAACTCGGGTAGAAAGAAAAACTCTGGGATTAATTCCTTGACATCAGTGGCAGATTCAAACGATGAAAGACGCCATGTTGTAGCCAAGGAGTGAAAAGTCCGATCGGGAATGTCAAAGCTGCGATCTATAAAAAAGCCAGTGATCATTACTATACCTAGCCTGAATTTCATCCGATTACTTCGAGTCGTTATTACTCCCTCAGTAACGTCTGAATCGACCGGCCGTTAATGCCGTCCAGTGACGTCACTACTCCTTGACCTTTGCTTTAATTCATGCAAAAAGTAAAACACGATTTTCAAGTGGCAAACCGAGAAATATCGTTTGGAAATGTCTGCATGATACAGAACTACTATATTTTTTTCGATCGTAATTCATGTTTAACGTTCAAACTATCAACTGCATGCAGCACAACTCTGAACCGGTTGTACTAAATTCTACAATCAAACTCGGTCGCAATCACGCAATGAAATAAACACACACACAGAACACTTAGTTCAAAAATACAATGATTTGCTTTAATTGAAAAGATGCTATTTGGTCCTTAACGAAGAAAAAAAACAAGGAGACAAGAAAGAAAAACTAACAGAATCATTACTTTTAACGGTAAAAATACCAAGAAGGTCGAATTATAACATTGATCTCAGAAAACTTCGCGTACAAAACAAAATCGCCGGCCGCCGAAACCACAAAGTAGCTCTAAATGAAAAACCTACCGACTTTCTGCAATGATTCTTCGTTCGCAGTTCAATTTCGCATTTCAGTTTCGAAGACAAGGGCAATTTTGCTTTTTAAGATAAAGATTGCGCTTATCGAAATGTTTGAACTAAACGAAAGGATGCCAGGGATGCAATCCGCTGAATATCAAGTGACAATCCCGCTAAAATTTTTCATAATTATACATAATTATGCGAATGTTTAGACAATCAACCAATCAAAATCACTACCCGGTTTTCGGGTAGTGAGTGACGTCACTGGACGGCATTAACGGCCCGTCGATTCAGACGTTGTTGAGAGGAGAAAACGACTCGAAGCAATCGGATGAATTTCAGGCTATACTATACCCCCCTTACGGTCTTCTTTATTTTTTCGCGTCCTTACCATGTGTTCATATTTACTTTGTATTAGACATTTGCACATCTCACACAATAAACCTTGTTCGCATTCACCACGCCCCGCCCTCCCTCCATGTTCACCACCCCGCCAAAAAAAAGCATTTATCCTAATTTCTCCTGGCTTTTAAAGTCTTCCTTGGAAATTGAAGATGCAAATTTGGAGGGGATAAAGACGTATATTATGGGAGATGCGCCAATGGTGTGTATACTCCAAGAAAGCTGTATTTAAAGACAGAGAAACGAGGTTAATGGGTTAAAATGACAAGGAATGGCCGATTCGCCTCTTTTTCAGGTCAAATTGTTGGCCGGCTGCACAGCCACAAAAAAGGATATTTCAACATGGCCGAAAAGAACCGTACCTTGATACTGTAAGAACATCTTGGTAAATGGAGGAAGGCGCACCAGGAAATGAAGAACTGTTCCACTGTTTGAGTAGTGACATCCATAGTGATACGGAGCCGACATGGGGTCGTTTTCAGGCATTCGCTCATGTTCCTCTTGAAGCCACTGCAGAAACAAGGGAAATGTCATGCGTTCTATAATTGACGGCTTTTCACAGTGACAAAATGCTCTACTCACAACGAGAATTGTTTACGTCATTGCTGAGAAACTGTTATGGGACACCATGTTCATAGATGACATAAAACTGGCCTTATTCATTCATTCATTTTCTTCTTTCTTTATTCATTTAGATTCAAAATTTTTTTTTGCAGTGCATCCAAAACAGCATGGCGCCCATTACTGCGGGCCTGTAACAGACCCTGGTCGTTTTTCCGGTTGGGGTTTGAAGCTACGTCCTCCCGCTGAGCGATCTGGCGCTCTCCAAACTGAGCTAACCGGGCTGCGGCCTTAAACGCCTTGGTCTCCGCCGATAGCCACGTATACGCTGAAAATCTAACGTACACGTACAATTCATGACCCCGTTATTGAGCCTCGAGGATTTGCATGAACATAACCGATTACTTTTCCCCTACAATCTCTATTAATCTGAACTTGAGACCATGCAGTACGGATAAAAGCAAGACTCACTTTGAATTTCTCTCTGTATTTGCGTTCCTTAGACTGATTTTGAACAGCAATAGGGCGAGACAAATCGCTGAAAAACAATCAACAAGGAAAATAAACTATCATTAATGATTAAGTGCAAAAGGCGGTTAAATCGTTAGGTGGCAGACGCGTAGGTCGGAATATTAAAAGCAGAAATGAACGGAAAAAGTTTCAAAGAGACAACGAAGCCAAACAGAAGAAAGAAGGTTACCAGGTCAGAGTTAACTTACCGGAATTTCTTAAAGTCATTCAGATCCAGCACTTCGCTGTCAAAGTCAGACAGCACGAAAGGGAAGACGGGATACTGCATGAGGTCATTGAATGAGCGTCCCGCCATTTTGTTTAACTCGGTCAGATACTGGAAATTTGTCATTTGCCCGGAACGCCACCTGGAGACAAAAAATGATTGGTTATCATCGCACGCACGATAGCAGAAACACATGACCTTAAGCGGAGTGTTATCTTTGGAAAGGGACGGATCTTAACCTTCACTGAGATCAGTGTTTGTTGTCGTGGGTTCCTGTCTTAGGCGAGAAAGTGTCTCACCACTTCGTCGCACACGACAAAACCTTGGACAGTGGAGATTAATAAAATAAAGAGAGAGTAGACTACGCAGGGAAGATACATCTAAAGGGAACTCAGGAAAAGGAGGAAATGTCGTTGTCATTTCAATTGTCTTTCTTTGTCCTTCTCAGGTATCCAGGCCAATGAAATCACTGATGAAATATGATGCTGATGCTCTTGGCGGACAATAAATCCTCAAGTGTTAGAACATTCAGACAGAATCATCTTCTCTTGGCAAGAAAGCACTGATCAAGCTGAAATATTAGTTACTCCATGCAAAGTGGTACTGAATTTGGTAACAAAACGAAAGAGGATATTCGTATTTTAATACGTTATAGTGAGTTAAAAGATTTTTCTCCCGTCACTTTCAAGAGGCAGTACTCAGTATTATTACCTGTTTGACAAGGTGATGAGGTGTTCATACTGCGGAGCTTCGTAACACGGAAGGTGTCTCTGCTTAAACTGCTCCAACACAATCTCGCGGTCCTAGAGAAAATTATGGCGCAAATAACAACGATGTTTAGAGGGAAATTCTTAAATAAGTAATGAGAAACCATCAAGATAGTTGTTACTTTGGGCGATCGAGGTATGCGAAGAAATAAAAATGAACCAATTAGATCACAAAGCATGTAGCCGATCAAAAGCGCGGGAAGGCGCATGCAAGCGAGGCATTTCTACCGATTAGTACAAAAAAGAGGCGCGACAGTTTTCAGCCAATAAAGTGCCAAAGCTTCTTAAGATGGTGGATTCCCGCAAAGAAACGTCACTTGCATAAAATTCCCTTTACGAAACCGTTAAATATTTCGTGGTTGATGAGTACCACATAAAAATATTTGATTTTAAAACCTAATCAGGTCACAAAAAAGAAACACAAATTATCCCAAAGGAGCCTTTTAAGTTAGTACCTGTCTAGTGTCAAACGCCAGGAGATAGGTTCGTCCGGTGGTAAGGAAAATCTCCAAGCCATTGTCCTGTGTGAAACAAGACAAACAATTTTTGAGCGGTAATTTTTTATGATAAAAAACACAAATTGTTTAAAAAGTTCTAGCAACTTCATAGTGCACTGCTTGGTTGTTGGTGAGCCGATTAACCATTAATCTTCTTGATAATAGTTAGAACAGTCATTGCAAAGTAAGAGTGTTAGTAGTCACAATCAATTGTTGCGGCCTTGTCGCACCATTAGCAAGGAGTTGAAGGGGCGGCTTATGCTTTGATACCATACGGTACCAAATTTGCCACACAAAGGGCCAGGAAGGAGGGTAAATAGCGTAGCGCTGATCCCAAGGGTACCCCAAAAGTCAAAAGTGCTCCACTTACAAAGCACCTAGGGCTGGCTCTGAGGGGACGGGGGACGGGGGCGGGGGGCGGGGGGGGGGGGGGGGGGAAGAGGTTGCTTAGAGAGCACCTTGAGCCAGCCTCAAAGGTTGCTCTCTTGTAGAGTACCTAAAAGTAGACTCCAGGGCCGGGTTGTTCAAAGCCGGGTTAAGATAAGACAGGTTTAGTGTGAAATTTGAATTCAGAGACGAAAGCTTTAAAAGTACATTCAGTTAAATTCCTTTTGTCAACAAGCTGACGATTGGATGCTCTTAAAAATAACAGAAAATTATCTGAGAAAAAGCTTTTGAACAAAAGAATAACAAACCCGGGTTAAATTTAACCCTGGTTTAAACGCTAATCAGCCTTCGAACAACTGGAGCCAGGGTGCCCCGTTTAAAGAGAGACTTTATCTGGAATCAAGGGTGCCCCGCTAAGAAAGCACCTAGAGCTGTTCCCAAAGGTGCCCCGCTTAGAGAGCAAGTAGAGCTGTTCCCAAAGGTGCCCCGCCTACAGAGCACCTAGAGCTGTTCCCAAAGGTTCCCCGCCCACAGAGCACCTAGAGCTGTTCCCAAAGGTGCTCCGCCTATAGAGCACCTAGAACTGTTCCCAAAGGTGCCCCGCCTATAGAGCACCTAGAGCTGTTTTTAAGGGTGTCTCACTTAAAGCACCTAGGGCTGGTTCCGGTTTTAAAGAAAGGAATAAAGAACTGATATTCATATTTACCTGAAGGCAGTACCACCTTGTCCGAACTTCTTGTATCTCCTCGTAAGACCAGGAGATGGATATAGCATCCTTATTACCGAGTAAAATCTTGAGGAAAGAGACAAACAAAATGTTTAAAACTTCAGAAAATTGTCTGCTATGATTAACGTCGACTTAAGCATAAAAGCAATAGAAAGTAGTGCAGAAGGAAAATTCCAGTTCATTTCAGCGTGACATGTCTTAATACGAGCTCATTCACTCCACGTCTGCGCCTGCGAATAGGCCAACTGGTGATTTTCCTATCATATGTTGCCACTGTTAACTTGATATTTCAGCCGGTTTTTATATGTTTTAAATGCGAAGTTTGATTACCCTCATTTTAATTTATCTCTTACTTGTGTGATATCTGTATCTGCGATGGCTTCCTCTCCCACAAAATACATGTGGCTCTCGCCTAAACAAACAACATACAAAGCTGACAATCAAACAGCGATATAAACTTTCAAATCGATAAATTATGGCCATCTACCTTGCCCAATCAGTCGCTAGACATTTCCAAAAAAAACCTGCAAAATAGTTTGTTTGGTGCCTTGGTAATGCGCGCAGTCGTCAAATGAGAAGGCTAAAGTGCTTTACCTGCAAGAATTCCAGCTTTGGGCACTTCCGAGTTGTCAGGACTTAAAAAAGAGTTGTTATAGAAATGAAAAGCTGGCAAACAGAAAGTAGCGAGGCCAAGCTCCAAAGCAAATTAACAAGCAAAAAAAAAAAAAAGAAAAAGAAAACAACAAACACAGACAGCAGGAACGGACAAGACAAAAGGCTATCGAGCGCGCCACGGTCGAGTAGGTACTAAGCAGTACACCCGTCACAGAAACGTGCAGCCAGTTTCAATACGTAACTTGTGTGGACCATTGAAAGTGACACGAAGACAGTAGTGCGGAAGGAGAGTTGTTGGCGTGTTCCGGGCGTTCAGGTAGTTGGAAACGGCGCGAAATATAAATCGGCGCAAAAAAAAAAAAAAAAAAAAAAAACAGGGTAGGAGAGGGTAGAGGAGAGAGGGAGAGAGGGAGAGAGGGAGGCGCTCTCCCTAGTCCCCCTCTATTTTTCCTCGCTTTCTCTACTTTGGACCACTCCAAGCTATCTGAACGTCTTGAACAGCTCTCGGGAGCTTTGAATGTATTTTTTGTAACAACACAGTTTTCAAAAACACCTACCAATCAATAGCACTCCTTTGATCTTGCTGTCCAAGGTAATGTTTTTACAGTGGTGAAGAAAACTGTTAATAAAAGGTCAAATAAAAAAAGGAAGCATTATGTCGAACACATGAACACATTATGACGTCATTTCAACGATCAAGGCTGGCGGGTAAAATAGAACAAAGAAATCACATTGGCACTCGGCAGATAACAGAAGCGTGCAACTTCCATGTTCTCGGGTCACGGCGTTTTACACCGACCACTTGATTTTTAGAACGATCGAAATTAGCGCAAATCTTTAAGTCCCACAAACCAGCTAGTCCGTCAGCCCTAAGAGTGATCAGCATCAAATTTCTCCTTGTAATATTAATGCTTTGTAGAGCCGAGTGGTTATGTCAATTACGGACATGATCACTTAAGATCGATGACTTTGCTTGATATTTTATCAACTTCTCCCTACTACTTCTGTAGGAAATGAATTGGGGCAACAAATGAGAATTTAAATTTTGATCTTAGGGTTTAAAGAGTTAATAACAATTGGTTTTCCTTTTTAACATTTTATACTTCGAATGCACTTATAGACGGAACGGAACTTCTTTTTTCGCGGGACAAAAAATGCTCTAAAATGTGTCTAAAAATAAACCAGTGAAAACACCGCAACATGGGCCTGGTATGGGAGTTCACAGATTAATATAGACCTACCGAATCGTATCAGGCGTGTCAAAGATGTAATAAACGTTCTTCTTTGACGAGGACGTGGTGTCTTCGAATAAGTAGGATAACGGAGTGCTTCCGCCTTTCGACTCTACACAAACACAGGAAAAAATTCATCAACACTCCAAGATTATCCCAACAAAAAACATTGCTATGTCATTATTGCGTGTGTAAAATTAAAAACACAAAATATAAATTTTTGGAATCGAGAAAAAGGTGGTACAGAGTGAATGCTTCTGAAATAGCTATCTGTCACGCTTGGGGTGGTATGTTCGTCTTGAACGGTGGGGTGTGTGTGTGTGTGTGGAGGGGGAGGGGGGTGGTTGTTAGTCCAAAATTTTTCGCAGTAAATAACCAAATAAATAACTAAGGACTACAAATGTCCCCACCCACCCATCCGCTGTTGTAATCAATCTTCGTATTGAAAAATGAGTAGCCTAAGGGTCCAGCGGCTAAGACAAGGAATAAACTTTCTGTAATACAAGTCAAACAAAAATATCAAAACCCACACCAAACACATAATCGATAAAGTTGGATGTTAATCGGGTACTGGCATTTATTTTTGTAACAATGGCGTCATGATCTTTTTATATTCTGATGGTTAGGGGTTAAATTCCACTGCGTCCGCCCTGAATATCTCTTGCTTACTTTGCCACACAATTATCCATTAAAAGACGATCGACGTCAAATAACTACCATTACTAAGGCAGCGTTGAAGTCCCCTGTAGGCTTGCTTCCAACAAAACGTCGAGATTTCTGAAGCTTATGCTTATATGTTCCCTTTTAAGACTTTTAAGCCGTGTCCCCGTATTATGGATATCAATTGCGAGGATGTTACGTTACAAAGACGTTTTCAATTCCCGGGGGAGTACTTTAGGAATTTGTGGGTGGGGATGTGCCGTTGGGACCCTGGAACCCTTAACCTATACCAGAGCTAGTCCAGCTAAATTTTGGTACCCTATACTAGAGCAAACTCCCCAAATCCCACCTATCCTACAGTAGCTGTTTCCCTAGTCTAGATAAAATCTTCAACCAACTGATCAGTTTCCTAAAATGATACCCTATTGTAGACCCAAACGCTCTGATTTACATACCCTATCCTAGAGTAAACTGCTTGAAAACCATATATATGGCAGTACCCCCCCCCCCCCCCACGGTTTCAATTTAAGATAAAAATCGGCCAATATCTGTTATCGCATGTTTTTGAAATGACGACGTAATCCCTTACTTTGCGTGTTAAATTTCGCCCTCGAAGCACCTTTCAATTCGAACTTTGAGACAAGCCACAACAAATCTTGCAGTATCTCAGTGAGCGCTAATCATTCCGAAGACGATCGATTGCTTATCTCCAAAGAAAAATGAGTGCCATTGTTACAGCTGTATTGAAAGCCACTGTAGGCTTGCTTCTAAAAAAAGGTCGAGATTGTCTGGCGAAAAAGCTACAAGAAGGTGACGTGACAGATGAACAATTTCGCAATATTATTGTCCGTGAACTGGACGACATCAAGTCAAAGCTGGATGGATTGGTACGAAAGGATCTTTTGACAAGCATCAGCTTTTTTAAGGAAGGAATTGTGTTTCTGTCTAAAGTCCTGGATGAAAAGTATTATGCAAACTGTGGACCGGAGTCGAGCAAAGTTAAAACCAGAAATGAAGCTGCGGAGAAGGACAAATCTACAGAGTGGTTAGACTTGCCTTCAGCTGACGTGAAAACAGTTTCACTTTCGGTTAAGGGACAAGAAACCTTATTCGCCGAGTTGGATGAATCTGGAAAGAGAGCCCTTGCTGACGCAAAGAAGAGATTTGACGAGGCTAGAATGAAAGCAACGGAGGCTTTCAATAATGTTGCTCTGAGCACAAAAGATCGCATTTTAGCCATGCAGTATCGGGTTATGTCAACAATATTAGAGAAAATAGACAGCCCAGCAGAGGCAATAGCGACATGTAAATTGTGCCTAGAAGAGTTACACTCCATGCCCGCGGTGGTAAAGAGCTTTGAAGTTGAACATTCCGGGGGATTTTGGTCAATGTTTAAAAAAGATGAACGAAAAGACATAACTAATTCAGTACAAGACGTGAATCGTGCGGTAGCCAGAGTGACGGCAGCGGTCGACGGAGTTCTTAGCAAACAATTCGACAACTGGCCGGGGGTCACGGAAAAGAAAATAAACCTTATTAAAGATGACGATAAGGTAGAGACCTGGTCGTTTTCATTTGGACATAAAGGAAAGGGAAAGCAGAGATTAGACTGCCCAACGCAAAGCATCGCAACTAACAGTCAAGGCGACTTTATAATAGCAGAAAGTTCTTTTTCCAACCTTAAAGTATTTAACCAAGACGGAAAGTTGTGGAAGTTGCTTACACCTGATCCCGCATTTTCGCTCCACGGACCCATTGTGGATGTGGTTACTGATCATTTAGACAACGTCTACGTACTTTTCAAGTCAGAAGTGCACGTGATTTATTCACAACCTCCCATGCACCGCACGTTTTATTTGAAGGAGTGGGACATGTACAAGGGTTTATCCCTGACAGTAAATAAAAAGGGAGATATTTTTGCATTGGTCGAATACGATACGGGTAGCGGTTACTATGACTCCATTGTCCAAGTGTATGATAACAACGGCCAGTTTAAGTACACTCTTGATAAAAAGGAAGATTGGAGGACTTGGAAGTGCATCATTGCCGTCGATGACGGTTTTATTTTACAGCGTCGATTTCTGCCCTCTGGTATTGACTTTTTAGATGCACTGGGGAAATTCCGTCGGCGTATATACCTCCCTTTTGATGTAATGGCAGTACACTATCCAACCAAACACCTGATCACTGCTCGAAGTTGTTACAATAGTCTGAAAATTACTGTACACGAAACAAATGGCGACTTTGTACGCAATATTTTTGTCGAGAAAAATGATACAGTCATCATATCTGGAATGGCAGTGACCCCAGAGGGACGAATTGCTGTACTTTGCAGAACCACGGAATACTCCGAGGATGGCGAAACACTTCAGTCAGTGGTACATGTTCTGTAAAACTTGTATTTGATTTTCAAACTGTTAATGAACTCTCAGAAAATAACTTCTATATGCATATCACTTAAACTTCCACATTCAAGAACCGGTCAGGGTGTGATAAGCTGAAAAGCTATATCGTACATTCTAAACGTATTAATGTGTCCTCACGGGATCACCATTCGCGCGAAATGAAGGGTTAACGTGATACTTAAGGACAATTATTAACTCACTTTTCTCGCGGTACTCCTCCATGACGTATTTCTTATCCACGTCCAGATGAAACCGCTGAAGACGACATCTAACGCGGTTGGGGCCCTCAGTCGGGTCCAGTCTCCAAGATGATGGGAAACGCTCGGTATCATACCACACAGACCTAAGAACATGGAAAAAAGTTGTTATTGTAAAAGCCAGGTAGTCGCTAAAAATGGCCTTTTTCTCTCTCAAAAACGTTTTCAATTCGGAGATGATGATACAGTTGACTCCCAATAACTCGAACCCTCACTATCTCGAACCTCACGCTAACTCGAAACAATGTCGATTTCCCCTGGATTTCCTTCTTACATTTACTGTAATTTTATCCTCGGTAACTCGAGCCTCCCGCCAACTCGAAGTAATTTTTGTTTCCCCTCAGCTCATTTCTATACAATTTTACCCTCGATAACTCGAACCATGTTATAAGCGCGTGACAAGTCGGGAAAAAAACCGTGTACTAAAGCCCGAAACATCGACTTTACTTCAAAACAACCGAGTCAATTCTTTGTCTTTACTTTTTTGTCACTCCAGTTCAAATTCAGTGTCCATTCATGTATACTTTGTTGCTTAATTGCCTTTCCTTGCCATCCATTTGCTTATTTCCTTACTTCCAGTTATTTGGTTCAAACTGTTAAAGTGCGCAAAAAACAGCCACTTTTTTGGATTATTTTGAGTGTTATTTTATTTACCCAAAAGTGTGCAGGGTTTATTATATCTGCTTGTTTTGGTTGAGAGATTTCGAAAACGCACGTGTCAGCCGTTAAGTGATTTTAATACTACTTTTATTGAAATCTGTCTTTTGTTCATACTAATTGGACGCGCTGGTAAAACAAAGGATACGTTCCGTTGGCCTTAATTCACTTTTAATTGACCAAACAAAATCTTTCCAGAAAAACAAAGTTTCGCCCGGAACGTACTGTTTTTATTACTCTCCTACGTTTTCAAGATCTTACTTGAGCTGGCTTGCGTTTTAGTGACAGAAACCTTGTCCATCGAGACCTCCGGATCAAATCATTTAGGTATACTTCATTAAGTGTAGTTGGTTAGCAATTGTTTGAGACTGGTTGTCAAGTGAACACTTTGGTTGGATAATCCGTGTAATTATATTTGTACGCGAATTAGTTTTATTGCAAAACTCGTAAACAACTTTGAGTTAACATATTGAAAAGGCGGGGCAAATTAATATTGTTAATTATTCCTACAAGAAGACTTTAACCGACAACTTGTGTAGTGTACAAAAGTTGATTAGTTGTACTTTTTGAAGTAACGATAGTGTGAATCAGCGATTTATATGTATAAATACATTCTTTGTGATCTTTATATCTCTCTGCCTATTTTGTTTTGACTGGTCATTAACTTGACTTAAGTGAATTCTATTGTCAAAGTTGATTTTCGGCCTACGTCATAACCTCGAAGGAAAATATGATAATGTTCCTTACACCCAATCGGGTTTTTACTGATGCAAGATTAAATTTCAAATGATTAGTATTGGCACCTGTCATGTCCAGTCAGGATAAAAGGAGCTATTACAGGCTTTTGTAAGAGAGTTACTACAAGCTAGTGTGAGATTAAGTTGACTTGTAACAACGCTGAAACTTTAGAAGAAATACAAAGTTTGCTGAACCATCAGAGTACGTGTGTCTTTTCTGTGAAGTCGACCCGGAGCTAGTCCCCTTCAACTGGGTTCGGACTTTTCACATAACTCCCGATAACTCGATTTTTTTACGATTTCCCTTGAAGGTTCGAGTTATCGGGAGTCGACTGTAAGTGTGAGCATTCAGATGAAACCTCTTCAGCATGCAGCAGCACTTTCACATGGTAATATTTCTCTAATACGTAGTTCTCACTTAAAGAGGCTGTGAGCGAATCCCATAAAGGGATCATTCAGATGACAGCTACTTAGCAGTACACTCACAAGGTAATATTTGCCTGCCATCATTTTGCAAAATCAAATTTGGAAATTTTATTATCATTCATGAAAGTTGATTTGAGTTGATGAACGCGCAAACAAATTTTGTTTGTTCAGAGTACAGATGATAACTGACAAGGGTTATGTACTGTCTGAGTTATGTCTGGTTGAGAGATTCAAAGTTTGCAAAAACTCTTGTTACAAGGTGACAGTTTAACAGAGGTAGATTACAATAAAATTAGCCATTGGGAATTCCAAAGGGTGACCGCGCCCGCTTAATAAATAGAGGTCAAATTTACAGTACATATGGACCCAGTTGTTCGAAGGCCGAATAGCGCTAACCCAGGGTTAAAGTTTAACCAGGGTTTCCTTTTCGTTTGTTCAAAATCATTTTCCCGGATTATTTCCTCGATTCTTTTAAGGCCATCCAATCATTAAACTGTAGACAAAAATAATAACACTGATTTTGCTTTTTAAGCTTTTATATCTAAATTCAAATTTTGCACTAACCCTGGGTTATCTTAACCCTTCTTTGAAAAACCCGGCCATGGGAGGTAAATTTCGGGAAATTGATAGGTGACCGCTTAATTGAGGGCTGCTTAACAGAGGTTTGATTGTAATTAGTGTCATACGGTAATTATGCTAGATAGTATCCGATATCCAAACCTCTGTCACGAAGCAATTTCTTCTATTTTCTCTTTCCTGTTTCGGTTGTTCTCTCTATCCTAGGTTTTTTCTTTTCTGTGTTTTTGGGTGGCGCAAAAGTTAGAGAGCGGCACTCGCCTGGGTTCGACGCGCAGTTTTCCCTTTCGTAAACGGTCGCTACCATTTTTAAAAAAACTAAGAATATTTTTGACCTTTTATTGAGAGTGTTTCTATTAAAAAGAAAAAAAGAAGATCCAAACCAGGGAAAAACCTGGACCTCGAACCATTCGTGTCCTAATCTCACTCCCTTACTACTACACCACCACACCGACCCACCAAACTTCCAAAAACGTTAAGTAAATAAACTAGCAAACTGTCTTTCTTAAATGATACATCAATGGTACTCCAGTCCTTTCCATAACTTTACACGAAAATTCAACATGGGCTTCAACGTAGTTCTTTCTACGACCATTCAAAAACGTACCTGCAGCTAGCTATTCACTTGGTATAAAACCGCCAGACCGGAAAGCAAAAGTCGCACTGGAACAAGACCAACAAAAGGCCTACATAATTTTAAATTGTTATTTCCTTTATTTTCCTTGTCCCGGTGCGACTTTTCTCTCCAGCATGGCGGTTTTGTACCACGTAAATGGCTAGCTGTAAAGGGCCTAATGTAATAATCCAGAAAATATTTTACACCTATCATGACCTAAGGGTTGGTTGCGAATGGAGGCATCGACCGTTAAAAATAGCAAGGACCGTTCGCGTTTACAAAGGGGAAATAGGCTTCGACGCCATATGTGGATTGGTTCCCTGCTCTGCCTAGTCTCTTTCACAGCCGCTCGGGCTGAAGTCACATAATTCTCCCCGTCCCATTGCGTGACTTTGGTCCGGAGCGGCTGCGAAGGAGACTATTTAACAAATAATACCCAATTATTCCTCGAGCACGAACGGTCTCTGAGTCGATAGCCATTACGCCGCTGGCCGAATGGGCTATTAACTCAGAGGTCATGAGTGCGAGAAGAATAATTGTTTTAGTAAAAGTTGGTCAAAAATATTGAGACAGAACATTTTTAGCTAGCAAAACGCACGAATCAGCCACCATTATTTTGGTTTTCAAAGCCGACGCTTTTCGCTACTACCGGGCTATAACATATAGCCTGGTAGCAGCTCAACCAATCAGAAGGCAGCATTGATAATAGACCACTTACCCGGCCGGTGTTTCCTCTCCTCCTCAAAAATCCAACATTTTCTTAATTCTAACTCGATATGAATTGCATGAACCCTCACAAACGAGTTCTTGAAAACTCCTAAGTGCTTTATGAGTACAAAAATTACAAAATACGTAAGCGCCATGAACAGCGAGTTTGAAAAGACATAGCCTGTTCCAGTCACCAAGATAAACGTGCAGTCGTGCAGTAAAAAGTGCTCGTCGTATTTAGGGGCCTGCCAAAGGCTGGAAAATGCCTAGTCTTAGCTGTGATATTTTGTTTATGTATACATATATATTACCTACAACCTTCTGAAATGACGTTACCTTTCATGAATAAGACGCTCGATGAGTTGACGCCATTTTTTGCGAATCTGCACCTCAGCGGACAATGCGTCCCTGGTGTGTTTGAGAAGAGCCTGGCGCTTAGTGTCTTGTATCTCCACTACAACCCGTGTCACATCTTTCGCTACATTTGAGATCGCATCACTGAGGTCTTCTGTTCTTTTCTCCAATCTGAAACAAGCATGATATATGGCTTGAAATGAATACGAAAACATCCAAAGAAGCAATAACATGATTATTTTCTTCAGTAGCATGCTACCAAATGTGGAGGCGTGTGTGGCTGAGCGGTTGACACCTCGAACTGCGCATCTGGAGGACCGGATTTCAAGCCTCGCACGTCGCGTTTATTCCTTAGACAAGGAACTTGACTCCACTTTGTCTCTCTTAACCGAGGTTTATAAACGGGTAACGGCGACATACTGATGAGGGGTAACCCAGCGATGGACTAGCATCCTGTCCAGGGGAGAGTAGCAATACTCCTAGGCATGCGTCATGTTAAGGAAATCGGGAGAAGCTCCGGCCGTTTAGGCCCTTGGCTCGTGTACACCTTTTCTTTACACTACCAAATGTAATAATATGAGGCAACAACACAACGAAGCGAATACTACGGTCTACAGAATTCTTCTACCCGTTCCTAGCCGTTCTTTTTCTCGTCCCGTTTCTTTTAGAGAGGAGAGTGGTATGACTGAACAAAGAACGGCTGCGCGGGAGAAGGTGTCTACAGTAGAACCTTGGTTTCGCTCTTCGAAAGGAAGACAAATCTAAATTAGAAAATCCCGCTTGAATATATAAAACATTCCAAAACTTGGAAATTCGACCCACGTACCTTCGGTAAGCCTCATATCTCTGTTTCTGCCATTGCATCATGCTTGCATTGTCAGCTGACTCCCACGTCTGTATCTGAAACCCAACAACAAAACTTGTTTCAAAACGACCAGGCCCTCGAAGTTTGAATCGAGTCAGAAAGGAACTTTCGGATCAGTTACCGTCAATGTAAGCCTTCCCCCGCCCCCCATCCAAAAAAAAAACCGTCCTTACCGGATTTGAACACAAATGACCGATTTCTTTTGTCCGATTTTTTCTGATGGTTTGTCCGATTCTTTGTCAGATTTCTTTGTCTGATTTTTTCTGTTCGATTTTTTTGTCCGATTACTTGACCGAATTTTCGTCCGATTTCTTGTCCGATTTTTTTGTCCGATTTTTTGCCCAATTTTTTGACCGATCTATTTGTGTGATTTTTTGTCCGATCTTTTGTCCAATTTTTTTGTCCGATTTTTGGTCCAACTTTTTTTGTCCGATTTCTTGTCCAATCTTTTGCCCATTTTTTGTTCGATTTTTTGTACTATTTTTTGGTCCGGTTTTTTTTTGATTTTTTATTTGTCCGATTTCTTGCAAGAAAATCACCCATCATAGAGTATACTTAATGTAAAAAGGAAAAAAACAAAACAAAATTATTCTACTTAGTGTCAAGCCACTGCTCGCCTCGAATAGCTATAGCTAACTGCGAGCAGTGGTACATCATATTTTGTATTTTCTCAATTTTTCTTAATAAACTTGAAACTTGAAACTTGAAACTTGAACTTGAAACAAAAACAACAACAAAAAATTAAAACGAAAAACGAAAAATCGCGCATATATAAAGGCGCCTAAGAACCCGGCGTTTTTTAATAGTGAAAACAAAGTTCTGTATCAAAACAAGACTCGTCTTTCAAAATGAACCTTAAATCTAGGAGTTTTCTGTGGAATAAATGTGAAAATTCCGACAACAGAGCTTTAAAAACACTTCATTTTAAAAGAGTCCGGGAAAAGGTTACGACGGCATTTTTTGCAATGACTAATCTTTAAGAGTTTTCCACGATTAAGTAAAACTCCAAGACAGAAGCCCATTCAAGAAGATTCTACGTAGGAACTCTGTTCCAATTTAAAGATACTGTACGTTAATCTTACCTCGTTTTCATCAGACGGTTTAGGGTCAGCGGCATTCAAACGCATCGATTGCAGGTTCATGGAGAGTAAAATTGCCTTAAATTTGTCCCCAGTTCTCTTCTGCTCCGGTGTGAGGCGCGGATGTGCAAGAATCTTCAAAAGGTAAACTGCCACTCGTTCACGGAGCTAAGGAAATTAGCATTTTTGAGTTACTTTGATTTAATAGATGTATTATTTAGAAAAGTTTGGGAGAGTATTCCTGGTTGTTAGTTGCCAATTCATAATTCATCCTTCAACGCTAGCAGGATACTGAGTCCATATGCGATCATGATCCGGATTGCAGGAATACTGGATTCCAAATTCCTTGTCAGTGGAACTTGGATTCACGGATTCCAATCGTTAGCGCGGGATTCCGGATTCCTCGAGCTGTATTCCGGATTCCAAAGCCCAGGATTCCGGAATTCACAAGCAAAGATTTCCCGGATTTCGAGAAATCCGAATTACCTTGCACTATGGGACGAAAATTACTAAATAACGAATATAAATAAAAATAAATACACAGAAAGACAAGAGCATGTGCGTTTCTATAAATTTCCATTTGAGAATTCGCTTCCTGAAATCCTGTAAGCGACTTTTGAACTTTTGGATGAGAAATGCGAAGGTGCTATGTTTTATTTCACAGTAAATGATATAAATCACGGATGTTGAAAAACCTTGCAGATCAGTTACCTTTGGTCCCCCGCTGGAAGTCAAAACAGCATCTAGAATTTTCTTGGCGCGTGGGTGATAAACCAGGTGCAATGCGAAACACGCAAGATCCAGGTCATAATTTGGATTCAACAGGAACACCAAGAGCTTGCCGATCTAAGCACAGGAAAACCAATAAGATGTAAATCAGATAACGTAGCCTGCTCCTTTTCTTGAGATTAACAACGAGAAAACTCGTAAATAAATATTAAATAAATAAATAAATAAAAAGTAACCACAACAATTTTAACAATAAGAACAGTAAGGACTAAAATCTTAAAGCAATAACTGGTCATGTGAAGATATTTCAAAGGATATTGTTAAGGTACCTGTGCTTTTAAGGAGTCCTTCGACAAGATAAACAGCTTATAAATCTCTCTTTTTCTCCCATCCTGAGCAAACAAAGAACAAGAAATCCTGATCTTTCAATTGGCAATAACACTGTTTACACTTGAGTCTGTATGACCGCTCTGACGAATACTAGGGAGCTTAAAGGCAACAATGATGGCGACGGGTGCTTTAAACTTTATCGCGCTTATTGTACCTCGTTCAGTTTGTCGAATGTTGGCAATTTTTTCGGGAGTTGAATTCTAAAAGACTGTATCGAGGTTCAGGAAAAGAAAAGGACGTCGTTGTCTTGTGTTTCGTCCTCCGTAAAACGTGAAATTAGGCAGTTTTATGTCGCAGTCGTGCAGTCACTGCAAAGAAATGTACAAAAAATTAAACGTGCATGATGCACGTGCAAAGTTGTTGTTTTGCCAATCTAAACCTATTGCTATTTTGTCTCGTTGCGGGATTTCGACAATTGACGACTCCAGAAATACCATAACATACCGTAATACTCTTTGTTTGTTACTCCAAAATTTTGCATAAGCATTGTCTTAAGTTTCTCTTGGGAGTTAAAATGGCCCCAAGAGAAAGTGAAAATTTCTCTCGGGAGTTAAAACGGCCCCAAGAGAAACCGAAAACAATGCTTATGCAAAATTTGGGGCGACAAACAGAGAGCATTATGGTATGTTATGGTATATCTGGAGTGGGTGGTCAATTCATCGGACAGAAAAAGCTTGTCTTTCTTATTGAAGGCCAAAATTCACTTTTATACGAAACGACAAAACTTAAAAAAACACTTCACTAATCTAGTCGCTCGAATAAAACAGTCACCCACCAAACATGCGTCGAGAATTTCCAGCAGGAGACTAAATACAAATTGAGCAAACTCCCTTTCTATGGCTGCACCAAGCACGCGAACAATACCAGGCCGCAGGGCATCATGGACTTCCAAACTGATAGAACCAGAGTGAAACGCGTCAAAATCCTCTGGCATAAAGAAAGTCTTGCAGTAGACGATAGAGCTAACGGCAAGCTGACAAGTGACCTGAAAACGGCGCGTCTGCTCATTGGAATTCGCATTTGTGGGTGACTTCTTCAGCTTGCTAGGGTCCAAGCACAATTTAAACTGTTCTCGGTTCAGGTTGACCCAGGATGAAACTGGCGCAAATGAGGGGATTGGGTCTGTGCTAGTGTCTGGTCCTCGAAAAGGTAATCTGGAGGAAAATAAAGGTTTGGAAAGAAAGTTTTAATCGGCGAAGCACTTACTGTTGCCAGGAAAGAGAGGATTACGAGGACAATTGCCCTTAGCTTCTATGCCAGCGCGGGTCCGAACTCCAAAACACCCATTTGACTTGAACAAATCCACACGCGTAATACATCTCCAAATGGCTAAAGAAGTAAATCTATCAAAGCCTTTCCGCGCTCTAGCATCGGACCGTTTGGTCGATAACATAACAAAAACTAGCGCGCACGCGCAGAAATCCGTGACACATACATGACGTAAAAAAGGCGGAACACGGGTGTCACAGCAACTTCGTTGCGTCATCCGAAGTTCGCAAGGCACTATATTTACAATTATATTTTACACCTTTTTGAAAGGCTCATGAGAAAGTCGAAATTTAACGGAAAAATTATCACCTTACCTTAAACCTGATGATCTAGTTTTCTTCCCAGCAACTGCTACTTCGCCTTTACACACTTCTTGAAAAAAGTGCAGTGCAACTTGGATAGCGAACAAGCGGAAATAACGAGCACAGTATGCTGTAGAAAGATCATGATCTGTAAAGATATAATGTGGGAAAGTTAATAAGAGCAAGAGAAAACAGTTAGGCAGTCCAGCCGAGTATAACACAACCCGACGTCGCTCTTCATATCTTCATTGGCAATTCCATGCGCATGAACTTATTTCCATTTACCGCTGTCCACAATAAAAACAATGTATCCGTTTGCGAGCTCGTCAACTACGTAATCCGCAGCCCCCTGCAGAAAATAAGTCACGGGATCGATTCCCATGGCCAAATGGATACTCAGTGCCTCAAAATTACTGACATAAAAGGTGCTACCCTTGCCCAGCAAAAGGCGAGACTTTCTTTCTAGAAATGGCGGTTCCTTTCTCCTCTTAGGGATGAAAGAGAGTGTCCTCAGTTAGCAATTGAAATAAGGACAGAAATAAGGTGACTACCGCGTGTCTTGAAAACAAAAACCCCTGAGACCCCCACCGAATGACTCTGAACTTTAATTGATTAGGGTTAGGAAACTGAGTGAATCAACTTTCGGGTCTGTTTGCCCAGTATAATGACTTAAATGGAACCTGATTCACTCAGTTTCCCAACACGAATAGATAAAGTTCAGAGTCACTCGCTGGAGGTCTTAGGGGGTGTTAGTGGTCTTTGGCGTCTTTGTTTTCAAGAAACCCGGTGACTATCTCGCTAAAAGTTGCACAAACTAGGCGTGGTGTAAACAGGAAAAAAACAAAGCGGCTGCTCACCTCTTTTCTTGTGATCTTGTTCCTCTAAATTCTCGAAAGCAATCAACAGATCCTCAAACATTTGAAAATACAAATTCCCATTTGTGCTGCAATCAGGATAAGGGTAAAAAGTATAAACATTTGTTTAATAGGTGGTTTTCATGCAATCTCGGGAGACACAAATAACAATGGTGAAATGAACAAATGCTGGTGGACAAACAAAACGAGCTAATGAGCAATCTTTTGTTTACCGTCCACCAGCATGGCAGCGATGACGTAACGTGAAAACCACCTATAGCCTATGAAAGAAAGCCTTTCAGAGCAAGAGTACAAGAGGGGGAGAAAGTAGAAACCGGTGCCCTCCTCCTCTCCAATTTCCCCGCACGGGCGAAATGAAATGTAGAACCTAACTTAGTTTCTATTTTCTCCAGTTTTAGTAGCAGCAACTACTACAACAACAGCAACATAATATTAAGCTTTAGCACCGACAACGGCGACGGTAGCGAAAGCGTCATTTTCCAATTCGCTGAAAATGTCACTGAGATTGTAAACGAATTTACCTGGAG